GATAACGCATGAGAAATATCATGGCATTACAGTATATTCTGTATTGTCGATGGTGTTATTCATTACTTTAATCGGTGGCAGTTACCACTCAGGTGAACCGTCCATGTCAATTCTTATCCAAAAACATATTTATTTTGTCATATAATGCTTAAAAGAAAATCTAGTTACGGGCATACGATTCCGCGGAATTAGTAAATTCAAATATTTTAAATTTAAAATAGATATTTATGAAATATGTCATCGGCCATTGATGCGTTTTGTTCGATTTAAATTTAGAATTATATTAGTATTAATTAATTTCGCTGTATATTTCTATAAAACAAAATATACTTGCTTTTCAATAACAGACCACTAAGTTAGTAAGTGTATAAATGAATAAAAACTCTTTATTGATCCCTTCAAAGATTGATATAGATTAAAAATATTAACAATATGTACACAAAGTATGCATGTATAATGAAAAAAAAAATTGTTTTAAATTGTAGTCTTTATTTTCTTGTCAGTCCTTATACATACTAAAACGATGAAAATGAAAAAAAAAATCCCTTTAAAAACTTCTTTATTATCTCTAGGAGCCAAAATGACTAATAATTATAAAATTGCATCTACACAATATTTGGTATAGAGAAATGTAGTTTTATTTTTATCCTGCTCTATAATATGAAATTACTAAAAGAAGTTAAGTAAAGACGTAAATAACAAATAAAATTTTGATCATTGAAGGAACACCTAAAACACACACTTTGATCTGACATATTTTAAGCCGAAGCTTCAAATTCTGTAGGTAGGTTAAACATTTTAATCTAATATTAAAAAGATCCTAATGCGGAGAAAGCGTATTAAAATGTTTCCCAACGTGTTTAGGTTTGTCTCATCAAAAATTTGTATTCTTGCCGCTATGTGGGATTGCAAGCATTTATTTATCAGCTAAATCAAATTTAAAATAACTTATTTAAATTTTATGGTTTACTAACTATTTCTCGCATCTTTACTCGCATGAATCAATATATAAAGTATTTTACGCGTTAAATTAGGATATAATCTGCCCATGTTTATCATTTGATTGAGTAACATATATATAAACATCTCTAGAAAATTTATAATATTAGTGAGATTTCTATACCTCGTCTAATTTTTAAAAAATAATAAATTAAAAAATTAAATGATGAAATGTAATAGAAACATTAGCTATAAGTCATTAACTATAGGGTAAACCCAACACTTCATACCAAAGTTTCACTACATTTACAAACTATGAGTACGTCAATAACAACTAATATCTAGTAAATCTCTTTAGACATTAAATTCCTTTCATAAATCTTTAGCAAATAAAAGTGAACCATAAATATAGCCTCGGAGAGTTCAGTGTACTAAAAACGAGTACATCTATAAACAAGTGGACATAGTGAAGTTACAAAAATTCGACTATTTTCTGAAGGTAAATATTTTTTATACTTATATTTATTATTGGAGAATCAACAACAAATAGAAACATTATTTAAGATTTTACTTCGAAATAAAAAAAAAAAAGTAAAAAAAACAACATTCTGGCAACATTAATAAAGAATTTATATAAGAGTGAAACCTGTTAGTTCTAAAAAGATTTAATAAAAATCACTATAAAGTGTTGAAGATAACGTGTAACACATAAAAATAAATTCATATTCTTATAACAAAATTTTCTTAGCTTTGCACAGTTTAACACTGCTATTTGTATTTATCATATAGTTAGAATTAAGACAAACCTTATTAAATTCGTTTTAAATTTATCTTCCTACTAGATAATAATTGGGATAACCAATTGTTACTTGGGGTCGGCGTAATGTTTTTCTCTTCCATTCTTATCTATTCCCAGCTATTTCCGCATTCACTCCTATTTTAGATATCCATGTCTTTTGAAGTACTCCTCTGCCTTTATAGCTATCCACATTTATACTTAATAGCTTTCTTAAAATATGTTCCTCATCTGTGCCCATCACATATCCATACCAAGATACGCGGTTACTTCTTAACTTTTTTATCACTGGCACTACCTTAATACTTCCTCTGATATACTCATTTTTAAACTTATCCATTCTTATCACATAACACATCCATCTCATTCGCATCTCAGCTACGTGCAGTCGCTTTTTATCCATCACCTTTGCCAGCCAATACTCCGATCCGCACAAGACAGCAGGCCGGATTATCGTCCTGTAAGTTTCACCCTTAAGTTTACGAAGAATTCGCATGTCACAGGTGGTTGCCGTAACCTGCCGCCATTTTACCCATCCTGCATTAATTCGATACTTTACTGTTCAGTCTAATCCACCATTACTTTGTAAGGACCGAGTTACCGGAAACAGGGATAGAACTAGGATTAAATATTAAGTAGGTATGTATATTAAAATTCATTGAACCTTTTAGGATCCAAATATCTGGATATACATATTTACATCTATGTAGTCACATACGTGTATATGTATATAAGTTTAAACCAATGTAACTTGGAATTAATTCAAAATACAGGCATCTATTATATTTGCTTCTCTGTATAACTAACTCCATTTGTTGCGTGAAAGTAAACTTCCTTTCTCGACTCCAAAGAGTCAGCTAAATAAATAGGACCATTCTATAGAAAATTTAGTCAAGTTATCATTATAGGTACTATATCAACATCAGAATATTCACAATTGCTTGTGATTTACGATTACGTTTGCACAACAAAGCGAATCGAGTTAATTTCGTTTACCAGTTGTTCCTGATTAAACGGAACCATTTTGTTTTGTTGATTGAAAGTTTTCCGGAAGTTGCTCAAGTTCAAACAAAATATTAAATCATATCTGGCAATATAATACGCAAATATTATTTCTGTTGAAATAGATGTCAATCTAAAACTGGCTTTGTACACAGCAGGAATAATGTAGACTCTTATCTTACCATCTTACGAATGTAATAAAATTGTAACTGGAGAAAGTCTGTACACAGGAGGTATTTAAGAAAGAATAATATTAAAACTACTGCATTAAATGTAATGCCGTTTTCACATTCATATCTTTGGAGATCTAATTTACAATCTGATATATGTTTTATCGGGATATGTCATTTAGAAATAGCCTATTCATTAGTTGTTCTACTTCGGAAATCCACGGATACGCAGTAGCAAGCAAAAAATTTGTGTAGAATTAAAGTGTACTTTGAACCTTGAAAGGAGTATAATATTGAAACCCTAACATAACATTTTAATCCTGCTGCTCCTGATTATCTAAAAGACCGATCCTTGTTTCTCAGTGAGGCTAATGATCATACTTTACGCAGTGTCAATAACCTCCGACTCAAATTTCCCACTCATTCTTCTTCCTTTTATTCTAAATCCTTTACTGTTCAGGCAGTTCGTCTATGGAACTCACTACCTACCTCTATTCGGTGCGCTCAAACTCTTACTAGCTTCAAAACTTCTGTTAAATCTTACTTCCTCTCACTTTAGTACTATTTTCCTGTGTTCTCTCTTCGTTTTCCTTCGTCGTCGTTGTATGTGTGCTGTTAAGTATGTGTATGTATGTATGTATATGATAATATTTATATAATAGAGCGCCACCTACCCTTTGTCTTTTTCTCAATGTCCTCTACCTAAAGGTTGTCTGGAAGAGATTGCTTAGCGATAAGGCCGCCTTTTGTATCACTTCTCATTAATATTTACTGTATTTGTTATTTCTCTTTTTACTTGGTGCAATAAAGTGTAAATAAATAAAAAAAAAAATACTGCTAGAGTCAGGTAATTATGAGTATTTCATTCATATTCATATATATCGTAAGAATAGAATAGAAGTAACTTTTATTCAAATAGACTTGTTTACAAGCTCTTTTAAATCTTCAAGTTTTTACTACTATGTGATAAAAATTCAACAGATACTCTTTTTAAATTGTTATGTATAAGTTAAATATACATTTGTATATTTTATTATTTCGTCCAAAAGATTAAAATAGTAAAGTTATTATAGATAAATTCTCTTCATATGTAGTAATATATCTACATTGATGTGTTTGTGTAGCCACTTTATGAGGACAGAATAATGGATTACAAGTCGTAAAATGTTCTTGTTTATATCGGTCTAAATTATAATTTTATGCAACACGTTGCTGACATAAGAATGTTACGATATGATAGAACATTTATATGGGGGTCCATTTTAAAAATAGAGTTAGTTTCAAAAATAAGGAAAATTTAGTTTAAAAGAAATGTCAAAGAATAATATACAAAATACATAGAAAACATGCTCGAAGATTTTATTTCGCACAAAAAATAATACAACTGCAACTTCTATCTTCATTAAATTGTACTAACGGATATACCTACTGTGTATTCATTGCAAAATTATATACCAAAATGAGTGCATAAAATTGGCGAAAATATCTCTTAATATACACACAAAATTAAATACAAAATAATTTAAAACGTACGCCTTCTTGAAATTTCTGAAAAATTAAATTAAAAGAATAATTAGGTTTCTGTTACTTAGTCTCATTACATCTTCAGGTGCTAAAGAGACAGCCCCACATATTCAAAGACTGTATGATTAACGGAAAGAATTTTTTAAATACTACATATAAACTAGACACACCCCAGTCTTAAGCTAAGAGATATAAAAACGTTTTAATAATAAAAAGAGGAAATATTTGATGTTATCTTCTTAATAAATAAACTTACTTAATACCTTATAATTTGTTATAATTTAATATACCTTTTATTATCTGTCACGCCTATCTCCCATTAAGGTAGGTTAACTTAACAAATACTGAAACGATTTAGAAATTTCTTTCATCTATAGAAAGCTACATTATCAGCGAGTTAGATAAGCTATATCTTATTTTTAAAAAAATTATAGTTTCCTACAATAATTGCAATATAAATATACCTATCTCCACTCATAAGAAGCCGGAGCGGGTCACTAGTCAGGTTTAAACCTGAAATAATGTAAATTATTAAGTACAATGAATATAAATTCATTATTACTTCACAGTTTGCCGATTAGACAGCGGCAACAGTCGTCCGAGAGACCAGAGTACCGTGTCAGAATCGTCAAGACGATTCCGTGCGGAGTTCCTGGAAGATTGGCCGCAGGCGCCGGGCGCGCCGTACTTTGACCCCAGTACGCCCGACAATGTGACCGGTCTTGTAGGGCACCCGGTCACATTACTCTGCAAAGTCAAGAATTTGCAGAATAGAACTGTAAGTAACATAATTTTCTCTATAAACTATAACAGCTTTGATTTATTCCTATTAAGACATTATAATAATCACATCTGCTTTTTACTAAGAATTGTAATATTATTATGTACTCGTATTACTGGCTATTAACCTATCAGTATAGGAGGAAAGGATTGTTAGTAATGAAAAGGTTAATCCCCATTGTTATCAACATATCGGGTCGACCTCCACGCAAGGGGAACCCTGTAAACCATCGTGACTAATTTATCGCTAAATTACGATGGGCTAACTGATCTGCCTTTTCATCTTCACCAATCTTCCTTCACTGGTGCCCCGCATACCGTATACCGATAGCGCTGTCGGGGCTAACATTCCATTATCATCCATTAATAGATTCTATTAATCCTGAGATTTAGTATGACGATTTACAGGAGAAACCACGTAGAGGTCGACCTGACAGGGTATACTGCTAGCAGTGGGACTAGTAGTCCTCATTACTGACAATCCTCCACCCTAATATCACAATATGGGAGGGTATATTGTGATATTAGCACTATAATTTTACATAAAACCATAGTCAATCTAAATACAAAATATCAAGTTAAGAATATACATTTTTTTAAATATAATCAAAAGTTAGTACAGAGTTTAGCTGCTAGATATTAACAAGAAAGTTTTGTTTGTATTAATTATACAACTACAACATTACTTAAGCGGAACTTTGTACAAAGTCGTCCGCATGTATATCTCTATTACACTCGTATTTTTGCACCCAAGCAGTACTTGTATAGTTGTATTGCAGTTTGGGAAGATGGAATAATAAGTGGTAAAAAGGCGAAACACCGTAAACTCACCTTGAGCATAATAGTGCATTCTGTGATAATTAATAGTGCCACACTCTGTAGTACCACTTTCTGTTTCTTTATTCAAGTTTTGTGTAAGGAAATTTGCTATTCTAAATTATGTACTTTATAATATTATTCCGAATAATTGACACATAAATACAAGTTAGTAACCAGATATTGTTGAATCTAATGTTTATGTAAGTATTATTTTTCATCTATAAGTTTTTTTTTAATGGATGAAAATGGCATAGTACCTTGCCTGCGCTATCGGTATACACTGACGGGGTACCAGTGAGAGGTGATAGGTGAGAATGAAAAGGCAGGTTAGTTAGCCCATCGTGACGAATTAAACGATAAATTTGTCATGATAGTTTCCAGGGGGAACCACGTGGAAGTCGACTTGATAGGGTATATTGATAACAATTGGACACTAACCTCCACATTACTAACAATCCCTTCCCCCATTTATACGTATTAAAGTCCACTTGTATGTTAAATATCATATATAATGGAGTAGCAAATATTCTTTTATTCGAACTTGATAAGTAATGGCAAGGTTAGTAAAGGTTAGTAAATAACTATCTACAAACAAGCGTAGATAGTATACGAATATTAGTTATAAATAACTGGATGGTTATCATTTATACAATATATGCTACAATATACATGCTTCAAGGAAAACATTCATATTCTAAGAAAAGTTTTATACATTGAAATTTAAATACCTGTTGGAAGAAAGATCAAAGAGATAAAAGCAGAGATAAAGAAAAATAAACGTTTAATAAAGAGGCATGAAAGAAAACATATTATTATATTGCGGCTATTGAAAATAATATTTTATGTAATAAAATCTATGAGCAATAATAAAAATGTGAGTCTTATTGAAAATTTGAGTTGCATTAATGAATATATAAAAAAATATATACGTATATATTAATACAATGTAACAACATTGTACTTTTTAAGTAATAAAAAATATCTTCCCTAATAATTTAAATTGCCTCACTATGTAGAAACAAGCACATATTGTATAACATACTCTGTACGCTTTGGTTGACACCGGATATTTAATTTCGAAACAGGTGTTGTAAGTCGGTATTATCTGCCGCAGAAAATTAATTTACTCCCACCGCAAGAATGAAGCGGAGCTAACATATGGAATCGGAAATTAATTAAATAATATTATATTAATTTTGCAGTATATTATAATGGATATATTTGCAATATTTAGATGTGATACGACTCCTAGGTTAATAAGTGGGTATGACAAAATCACATGAAAATAAACTCTAAAATGAATTTCTTATAGTTGTAAATGCCTGTAGTATTTCCACAATCATGACGAATTAATGACAGCTTCTTTATAAAATCCATTTAGCCTATATTATATTCATACATACATTATTTACAATACATAATTTATCCTAAAAATATATTTTGCTAAGCAAAAAAAGCCTCTTCAATCAACAACACATTCATAACGATGTAAATGATGATAAACGATAAGATATTTTGTAGACTCATTAGATTTCAAACATTTGAATCTAAATCGAATCGGATTTTTTTGTAGATTTAGATTTTATTTCTTAGCACACAGCTTTTGCTAGCAGATATAAGGCAAATTCCTCTGCTAGAAATAAAAAAAAAAGTCCTGATTCATAAGACACCTACTACATCGTCACTGATGAGATGACTACAATTATATAAACGAAAAGACTTTAATGCTACCATAATGTGCATGTTCTTTTGCGTAAATGAGATCCTGGGTTCGATTCCCGGTTGAGCCAATTCACGAAACAAACTTTCCTTAATCGACTCGGGTCTGGTTGTTCTGCTGTTGGCCTCCAGATATTTGTTTTCTGGTTCCTAACAATTCAGATCTCAGCTTGAGGTCTCAGGCGATTGGTGTATTTGGCGCAAGTTCGTTTATTCAAAAATTATGTATGTTTGAACAGGTATCATGGGTGAGACATCGCGACATCCACTTACTGACCGTCGGTCGGTATACGTACACCTCTGATCAGCGCTTTGAGGCGCAGCACAAGCCTCGCTCTGAGGAGTGGGCGCTGCGGATACGCAGTCCGCAGCGCCGGGACTCTGGCCAGTACGAGTGCCAGATCTCCACCACTCCGCCCATTGGACATGCTGTGCATCTCAATATCGTAGGTGAGAGGAATTACACTAATATCTAAGTATGATAGCTTTAGATGAGCTAAGTACATATTTAAATGAAGTCAATAACCTGATGCCAATCATATTCGTTCAATAACTTCTAAATTGTTTTGCATCTTTATAGCCCTGGTGTATTTTTAAAATTTGCGTATAAGAATCTTTATAGCTCTAAGGTAGTTTTAAGAATTCAGCATAAAATCACTGTTTAGTTTAAATGCAAAATTGTGAACAGTTAGAAAACTTTTTCATCGATATCACTTAACTATGCAATGACTAAACCGAAACTCGTGGGCAGGTTCCTATCGAATTCGAAACTAGTCAGACATTCGTGAATTTTATAACGTGAATAAAACCGACGTAATTAATTAGAATATAGCATGCTGTCACAAATCACGATTTATTTATTTTTTGGAAAATGTTTGTAACATTTCTTTCATATAAACCTTGTCCTGATGATTACAAACACGACGAAAAAAAAAATAAGAAGCAACCGTCAAAACTGGTGCGATTATTCGACAACTGATATTTATTTACATAGATTTTATATTTATAAATTATTCAACTATTCCCAAAATAAACAAGTCTGTTATAAAATCTAATTTTTAAGTTAGACTGTTAACATGAATAATTTTGTGGGCTGCCTTAAAAGTTTTATTGCCAATTAAATAACTACTCAAATCTTATTACAGTCTTTCAAATCTTATTATCATATCATTAATAGTTTAAGTAAAATAACTAACTGTATATTTTACTAAGTTTTATTAAAATAGAGAGCTCCTTTTTAATTTTAATGCATAGTATTTTGTAACTTTTTTAATGGAATTTATTTCTTATTCAGTTCACCTAGTTCTTAATTAAATTTAAGAAGTTTGATTATTTCAAAATTTGATTCTGATTAAAAAAAAAATATTGTTTTATTTTTAGAGAAAGACAGAACATGCTTTATTTGCACTATGCATTTTACATTTGGATAATAATAACAGTATCATATATATACACAACTAGTGTTAATGTAACAAGGTACAAGGCGAGCTTAATACTAAAAGAATTCTGTACCCGCCAACCTTTAAGAAGTACAAACATACTAGAAGACGTTTTAGTACAGGATAAAAATTATAAAGACTTAACATAAATAAAATTTCGGTAACAGTTCCGATTTAAATCAATCAATTGTAATATAAATAATATTGAATGCTATAAATATATACGTATTTTTATCATATAACTTTAAGACTTGAAAGCAATTCACTCCAATAAAATTGCTCGCACAGTCTCTGGAGAGTTCGACAACACAAGTTAAATAGAACTTCATCCACTACGAGTATTGTTTGTTTACTTCAAAGTTCACACTGTCGTCAACAAACATACATAAACATACGAATACATGTGTTTACCATGTGTATATATCTGTCACAGAGTCAAATAGGTCATCAAGTAAATAAATATATTCACCACTTATTAATACGAGTATTAATATATAATAGAACAGTTCACTGCTGAATATAGGCCTCCCTTTGGGGGTTTTACTAGTAGTAGCCACGCTTGGCAAGCGGATTGGCAACCGCATTTATATTTATTTTAAGAGGTACGCTAAGTCCTCTTAGTCACTTGTTACGATAACCGAAGAAAAGAAGGATAGTCCATTCTATACTGGTACTAAACGGCAACTTCAGCTTTTGATAACAATTTGTTTTTAAGTTCTGAAAATGCAGACCAAAACTCTGTATATTTTATTAAATAAGTTATTAATATCAAATAATTCATATGAAATAAAAGGATACCTGAAAAGTATCTTTAAAAATAATGCTGACCTTTAAAACACTATGGCAGGCAAGTCTTGTAAAAATCAGATCACGACTTTGATTTAAAAGATAATTCTTTTAGGCAACAAACTTCTAAACTGAATTACGATATTTAAGTCTGAGCTTTCTGGTTTATCCATATAGATTTTTATTGACTGGATATTTCAAAATATTATGGAATGTACAACCTAATAACCTCAGCTTATTCTTGCGAATAACATACCGTTTGCCAGCGAATAAGTATGTTCTTATTTTAAAGGCTCATGTTATCTCTACTATATGTTTATTAAATAATGTTCCATTGAAAGTATTGTATTTCGAAATGATAGTTCATAGTTATGTTTATTATTAACTTTTAATACCAGACATTAATTATGAAGGAAAATAGTTACTTTATAGTAAAGAATTTCAATCTAAAATCTATATAAAGATGGCTTTATAGTTTGTGGAAAGGAAAAGCAGAGAATAAAAAAAATATCCTAAGTACTATAAAAAGAGTTATGTAAGTTTTGCATACAAGTAGACAATAAAGAACATAGATACTTATAAATTTGGCACAGAAAAATTAAATCGAAACTTTATTATTAATACTTGTAAATGGTATTAACAAAACATTTGTCATATGAGTTAATCGTATTATATCAAACATAAATCACATTAGATTTTTATCATAGTAATCATTTTAAATAAATTTCAATTATCTACATTGGCATTTTTCTCATATTTACCTTTGGGACTGTCTTAGGTGTTTTAGATTAATAAAAGCCATTAGTGCAACTAGAGAACTACGACGAACATCTCGGTAGTCTTAGTACTGTTCACAACACAAATGTGTTTTACGTTTACGGATGAGGATTACTGTAGAGTCCGAAAGTAATCGGACAATCCCGAAGATAAATGGATAATTTAAGCTGTTTGTCTTGTTTAACTTGCGTAACTATTTAATTTAATGTGCCTTTGTCTCATTGATAAATGAAGTTTCTCTTTCAACAGAACCGGAAACGGAAATTCTAGGCGGCCCGGATTTATTTATCTACGCTGGGTCCACAATAAATTTAACGTGTATCGTACGACACACCCCAGAACCACCAATTACAATTAATTGGACTCACAGAAGCAAGGTAAGATCTTAGATATTATCTCATAAGTTGTTGCGCTTTAATAAATTTAAACCCGACAATACGTAATTGTAAATTCAAGTTACAATAGCTTAGTATTTTTTTTTTAATATGAAATTAATACAAATCGTTTTTAAACATGGCAAAATTAAGTATGTGTCTAAAATTGACTAATGGTAAGCAATAGAAGTACTAAAACACCTAACTAAAAAAACTAAAAAGAAGTACAAGATTCACCAACATACATACTCTCTCTACCTATTACTAGAAATAATAGGAGGCATTTATAATTTAAAACCCAAATCTTTAGAATTACATATTGCATTATAATCTATACTTATAAAATCGTTTGTTCTGTTTAACTATCAACACACAACCAAAATTTTATAGCCACTTTAAAACAAATCATATAGACACTTTCTCCTTTCGGATTCTCAAGGTTAACTGAAAGAAATTACTTTAAGCGATAATTCCGCCTGTGTACATTTTTGCTATAACCTAATATCTATACTATAAGTGAATGTACAAAAGCATATAAAAGAAATGAAATCAAGATAACCGAATCTTGGTGCGTAGATATATTTTAGTTGCAATTTTCAAAAAACGTAAAGTAACGTAAACGAAAAAACGTAAACGGTTAAGAAAGTAACCTCTGCTAAAAGGGAAACACATGCAAAGCTGTGGGTAACAGCTAGTCAGAGATGTAACCACACATTAAAAACATGAAATTGCAGTTGTTTATTCAATTCATTTAAATAATTCGAACACTGTATTTATTTGTTATTGAATACATATTAATCCATTAATTAAATTAAGAGTTACATGTAAATACGAGTATTTCATTTAAAACGTATTATATTATTTAATATTTAATAACTTACCATATTTACAAAACAATATTACCGCATATTAAAAAGCAAATAATCGGTATAAACAAAATTCGAGATATAATATTTTAAATTGTGCTTGCAATGCAATTAGTATTAATTAATTCATTAACATGTTCTTTTGGAAAAAGCATGAGTTCAATATTGAAAATAAACTGTTCTCGTATTTACTAAAGCGAAGCTTGTAACGATGTTAATAAAACTTAATTTGTTTCGATATCAATACGACTCTGATCCCAGGAACTGTTATTACAGGTTATAATTAATTATGATTTATGATACCACAATAACTTATAAATGATTTAACGCAGTTGACCCTTACTTTCGAACACCCTCTCTCTCTCTCTCTCTCATTTGACCCGTACAATTTTCCGTTTTCTGTTTAATTTGAATATTTTTATAAATTTTAAATAGATAACTGAAAAGAATAAGTAAAAAGACAAACCTCTAAATCACTGCATAATATAAAAAAAAGTCGCTTCTCATCTATCTGTCCCTATGTATGCTTAGATCTTTAAAACTACGCAACGGATTGCGATGTGTTTTTATTTTAATAGATAAAGTGATTCAAGAAGAAGGTTTATGCGTATAATACATGCATAATATAGTAGTGAAACACTGATTATTTTAGAAATTTCTAATGTGAGGTGATGTAATGTGCATCCATGCACATTACCCGTTATATAACATACCAAATAATCTATATTGGCATGACTCTAAATATCACATTCAATATTCAAGCCACGATAAGGTCATAAATTCAAGCTACATTTTGCTTAAAATAAAAATAATACGACTCGACTCAAAGACTACTAAATGAATTCTAACATTAATATTTAACTTTATTGCCTCTTATACATAAAAATGTACAATAAAAAATAAAACAGTTGTAATATTTTGATTTATAATAAAAATAAAACATAATGAAGAATCTCTAAATGAATGCATATAACTCGGCAATATGCAAATAATCTTAGTATGACTCTAAATGCAATATCCCAGCCGCAATTAGACCGTAAATTCGAAGCAATATTTCGCGAATGGCTGTGTATTAGATATTCTATACCGCCTAGTGCCAGTATTGCCTTCCGCAAATTTATCTCGTGAGAAGCAGCCAAATATGCAATACGGAATCTGGTATATCTTTGTGCGGTGGTTTAATTAAATATATCTTTAGCAAAATATCTTCTTAACTGCTTCCATTTAACGTAAAGTTTATTTTTATTTACTTATATTATTTTTGCTAGTACATAGCTTATATTATCTATACATATATAATAAAAACATACAAATATACACGTGTGTGTTTATAAGTGTTGTATATAAATCCTATTTACCTTATACCTCTAAAATACCTAGTTTTACTGTTAATTTTAGAGATATATTGATCGCCCAATAAAAGTTCTGACAGATTTTTTTATAAAATTATTACGTGAACTAATGTTAGTGGAATGTTTTCTTAAAAAATTTAATTTATTTTCTGATTTACGATACAAATGCTAAGAAAAAGCAAAATGTAGCAATATAAAAACAAATATAATAATGTCAAAAATATATGAGAATCATTTTAGTAGTAACGATTTAAAGTTAATTTAAAAAACACAAATATATTTCAATTTTATAAACTTTGTTTCAAAATAATAAATAAAAAAAAAAAAAAAATTCTAATGCAAAGTAACATAATTGATTGATAACCGAAATGAATAAATGATGACTGTATATAATTTGTAAAAATAGCTGATCCACAGTAAAATTCTTATATTAAATAGTAGTAGTTTTAATTCGCCTTTCGTAATAAAGTCAGATTTATAAATTACATTTAAGCTTGATTGATTTAAACCGCGACTTACTAGGCCAGGGTAAGTCCGCGTATTGACGGTTTTTTTTTGTATAAAACTGTTGTATGAATATAAACAAACCCTGTTATCACTGACTCAGTAATGCACACAAACAGTACAAGGTCTGTCTTGTTGCAATGCTCCCGCGATACTAACCGACTCTGACATTTCTAATAAATATACCCTCGTGTATATAATAGGACACTCGGGACAATATTGGTATTGGGCATTTTTATGTTTTTCCGTGATTCTTCATAATATCATACGATTTTACCGTCACGTTACAATGGGGAAGTAAAATGTATGCATTTGTATGGAGACGATTTTAAGCTTTATCTACCACAATTTTATGGTCATGTATAACCACAGCACTATCGTATAATTTCCATAGTAAACCTCTCTTTCTCATGGAACATCATCGCAGCAATTCTGCAAGTGTATTATGTATATGTGTAATCGACACTAGATACTCAAATATCAGACACTCGAATATCTGACAATCAGAAACGGGACACTCGGACACTTGACACTCAAACATCCGGACACTGTACACTAGACACTCGGACATTCAGACATTCGAAAACTGGTCATTTTTAAAACCAAAAAAGAAATAATGATAATCTTGTAAGTGAGGCCAAATAACAAAATATAAATAGTGGACTTCTACGATAAAGCATAAAAGCGTTCAAATGCACAATATATCGTGAAACTCTATGATGATAACGTGGACGTTCACTATATACCGTGCTCGGTAAAAAAATAATATACTAGTGTGGTTGCATGTTTCGATATTTATTTAAAAAACAGCAACTATTACAATTGGCTCGCTATTGGTAATAATATCCCATAAAAATACCAACAGGTAGCAGTATTTCCGAATGTTATAAATTTTTTTTATGTATTTTTTAAAAATAACTCTCCATCTCACATTTCAAGAACTCCATTTGAACTATTTGCTAAGATAATAATAATCCATTGCATACTTGATTAATCCAAACGTATATTGTCTTCATCAAACAATGTCCTTTATAGCCATACAAATATATCACATATTGTTTCATGGTTAGTAGTGGGAGACCACCGCTTTCAGCATAGGCCATCGGTATGGCATTACAGCCATAATTGACAATCATATCATTAATAGGCATAAATTTGTATAGTGTTGGCTTTGTAATGATACAAATACACTTTTTCCTCCTCAACAGAACTGACTTCAATTAATAATACACACACTAATAAACAATTAGATATTTCCTAGGTAACATACATTTTAAATATTTGAATTTAGAATGTAGAATTGCGTATTTATAAGTAACAACAAGCGATTTTTTTCTTAAATCTGCCTTTATCTGACTGGTTGACTAATTTTGTCAAGTTTGAAAACGTGTTTTAAAAATAAATTCTAAATTATTATGTACTTGGTAAATATATAAATAATAATCATACCATATGAATAGAAATTATTTTAATATTTAAATTGCTATCTAGTAGTAGAGTAGCTTTGTGCATCCTAAAGGTTGACTGATAGAGAATGCCTACAGTATTTATTTATTTATTTATATAGTATTAAGACTATAGTATTAAGACCTCCCTCTATAAAAATATGGTATAAAACCATATTTTTATTAGTCAATAAACTTAAAATAAATAAAACAAATAAATGAATCCTACTTTCTGCTAACATTATAAATGTCAAAGTTTGTAAATATGTTTAACTAAACTTACTATGTTTGTCGTCCGAATGAAGCCGAAACAATTGTCAAAAAATGACAAACCTAGAAGTTCATAAAATTTCCGTTGCGTACATATGCATGTGAATGAAATTTGGTACATGAGCAGGTTACTATCATATATTTTATATACAATGTACATACATGTAGACAAATCGACTCAATAACTAGCTCATTACATACCTATGCAAATGTAACAAAATAATGCAACTCCATCAGTAAAAAACGACAAAAAGTTGTAGTTTTTCTCATAACAATATCAAAGATTATTGTCACCTTTTAAGTGAGAAAATTCATCTTTACAAGCGAGAAAATTTCAAAGTCCTGAAATTCTAGTGCTAATTATCATAACCGTCAACTCATCTTTTCATTTTTATTTTCCCTATTAGCTACGCTTCTACGAAGTCATAATAAAAGTGATACCTGTTTTACTTTATAATAAAACTTTAGAACGTAAAATATTAGCTCATTGGATATTATTACCTCACATTGTTATATATTAAATATTGTTTCATCACAATACTATTAATTTTTAGTATGGTCAAACAATGGTCTACTAGCTTCTACCTGCAACTTCGTCTGCGTAATCGCTTTACGTTCACTAACCAGAATAAAAAGTACATAGTGTGTTTATACCAAATTTTATAGTGAGCGGGTAAGCTCTTAAAACATTAAGAGGTACCAAACAAATTAACTTTCACGTTTATAGTATTAGTAAAATTTAATTTTCCTCTCAATAGAGAGTGTGTCGTAGTATAGCGATTTACTGCCCCGATTTATAAGACCGTTGGGGTGTAACTCAGTGGTTGAAGACAAAGGGTATTGAATTCTAATAAGAGCCAAAAGACTAGAGTTACTTAATTCCAATACCTTTCGACATCCCTTTGTCTTCACTATCAATTTTCCTATCCATTCTTCAAATTTACTTCATTTTGTCAAACTGAGAATTGTTTCATACAATCGAGATAATATATCACTTCATATTTATGTAAAATAAAAATAAAACTATTTTCGTAAATTGTCTTTCAATTTTCTAAATGTTTATGAACTATGACCAATCTGATAACATACGAGTATAATATAAAATTCTCTGACCACGATGAACGCAATACAAGTAACAACAAGAAAAATTTATTTATTAAAAATTTATTTATAATTCAAATTATTGATTAATAATTAATATATTATTTGATTTAATAATTAGTTAGAATGAATGGAATACGTAGATTACATAATTTTTGATAAAATCCAAATACAGAGACACGACAATGAAATCAATAAATTGGAATACTAAATTGCTTAGTCACGATGCTCCTAGTGAAAAGAAAGCTTAGAATTTTTTTTATAAAATTGACCTGAAAAGGAACGGTTGGTAGATTTTGTAGAAGCAATATCAAATGTTATTGATATGTATTTATAAACTCTTTCAATAGAATGTAAAGAAAAGGTAACCAATTCTGTTGAAATTATCACAGGATTGCTCTCTTGATTAATGTATTTATTTAAACTTAAATCCATAATTATATAAGTAAGTTATTATATAAGTATGGCGGGCTAAATACCTAACGGTGTTATCTGCCAGTCGACCATGAGGCAAATAGAAAATTAAGTAAGTGATGTAATTTAATTTGTGATTATTTTATTTACAACTGAAATATGTATAAATCAAGTTACAAATATTGAAAATAAATAGAACTATTACTTAAATAATATAAAAATATTGTTACTAATACATATACATGCAGAAATATATATACTTATCTACACAAATATATACATATAATATACAACTAAAATTCTAATGATGATAGTTATAATCTATAACTGCAGTTAAAAGAAAAAAAATATGCAAAAGCTGCCCATAACAAGCAAAAAGTACAAATAAAGAGTAAAAAAAACATAGAGAAAAGAAAGAAATTTAAAAATAAGTATTACAGTTACAAGTTTTTAGGAAGTTAACCCAAGGATTAGATTTAAAAATAGATTTGTTTTTAATTAACGTCATTAATAATTTAATGAAATTAATAACAAATCGAAACATACATGTTTCTAATTGTACTACTATTGAACAACAAACTGTCTTACACTATATAGTGAATTTTTTAATACAACTTAGAATAGCAAACAAGCTGACGGCCCACCTGATGGAAAGTCAACTTAGAATAGCAAACAAGCTGACGGTCCACCTGATGGAAAGTGGTAACCGTCGCCTATAGACATGACCATGGACATAACAGAGTATACTGTTTCGCCCATGATTCCCCCCATGTGTTGCCATTCCTGAGGACTCAGATGTTATTCCTCTGTACCATGTAAATTCACGCTATATCCCACCCTTCAAAGCCATGCACACACAACCAATCGACTTTTGTATAAAGTCTCCCTCTGGTAATTCGTTTGTTTACATTTTTATGGAGTTCTATTGAAACAATCTATATATATTTGTATATGTTGTACAGACGATAAATTTCGACTCCACTCGCGGTGGTATATCGCTGGTGACTGAGAAAGGGATACACAGTAGCAGTAGACTGCTAGTGCAAGCTGCGCGGACCTCGGACGCGGGCGCATACCAATGTGTTCCAGATAATGCGCAGTCGGCCACTGCGCGTGTTCATGTACTTACTGGTAAGATGATTATACCTCCTGACGATCTCCGTGACGCTATGGTGGAAATGTTGCTTTGGCCCCGGGTTCGATTCCTGGTCGGGCCAATTTGAGAAACTTTTCTAAATTGATTCAAGTCTAGGTGTTCAGAGGTGTGCCCACAGATGTTCGTCACATAATTTCTCAAATCACAAGGTATCCGTCATTCTTATGAATAAGGCAATTAGATTGTGTTGTACAAAAAAAAAATTAACTTCAGTTGTGACAAAACCAGTTATTTTAATCTCAAAATTGAATTGCTGAATTAATTTGATAAAATTTCGACGAAAAATCGGAAAGTGTATCTTTTCGGATAAAAAAGTATTTTCCAAATTGTTTTATAACTGACGGGGTTATAAAGTGAAAAATATAAATTAAAAAAATACCATCGAATTCGGTGGTATTTTTTGTGAACGTTTTTCTTTTATTGAAGTTGCTTGAAAACTAACAGTAGTAGTATTTAGGTACTAATGTTTCGTGACTGTACCTCATAAAATATCGTAGTGCTAACAGATTAAATTTATATCTTCATTTATTTCTTTAGGCCAGTTTATTTTTGGGTATATAGTTATTAGTATAATAGCCACTTGGTTCGTTTCACCCGTTTACTTTTAATTACTGTATCTTTATTCGAGCTAGTAATTAAGTGTAAAACGGGATAAAATTTATAGGGGTTAATATTTACTTTCAAATAGAACAATTGATGAAATATCGTAGTAATAAAAAACGACTATATAGAGCTCTTTACTTCTTTTTCTTTATATATAATGGCAAAGATGACGATCTACCTCATGAAAAGTGATAACGGTCGTCTAGAGATATAAAAACTATACCAAATATTTAACAGAATATACTGTATTACCCATGGTACCATTTATGTGTTTCCATCTATAACTATTATTCCGTCGTACCCTGTAATTTATCTGCAATATTCCTCTCTTCAAATCGAAACACACTCATGGAAAAAGCTATTTCAAATCAAGAATAGAGTCAGACCCAAGCAGACGACTTTTGCACAAAGTTTCCCTTTGCTAAATACAATAATACAATTATAATACATTATTATTATAACATTCACTATAAATATAATATAACATACTCGCATAGTAAATAGTATTTTATTTACAGGAGAAACACCAGCGGCGATGCAAGGCAGCGCTCAATGGGCCAGTTCTTTGAGTTTGCCAGCTCTCATATTATTGGCCTACGCCATACTAGTTCTACAAGTCTGATTTAGTTATCCATTCATACCGTTTTGTGGAGAACTTTAGCTGCATTGCAGTTATTACGACGCAATAGCTTTGATAATAAATTTTAACAGTGCCGATTTATACAGATTGTTGTGATGCTTCGGACATAAGGTAGATAACAACAAAAAATTTATAATCTTATAATAAAACAACTAAAAATAAGGGATATAAAGTGCAAGTTGAACTTGAGTAAAAACATTTTATGACAATCTACATGACAACAATAATTGTTTTATGTAAAGTGCCAGTGAAAGTGATTTGTTACGAAATGAATGCGGCGTGAACAGCAGTTGTGTTTTTCAAATTTTAAACTGATGTGAAACATCAAAATGTGCAATAGACATATCTGTGCCAATACTGCATAGAATATCCTACAATCAGGGTAAATATAACTATAAAAATTTCAATACATAATTAGTAATTTCAAATTCAATTCGAACGTTGTCGATCAATAAAAAAAATCGATTATTGTAGCAATCATAAAATATGATAGTTTAGAACTGTTTGTTTTCAAACTTGACGTTGATTTCAATAAAAGACCATTTTTTCTTATGTCTTGTGTATTTTTTTTTCAACCTTTAATAAAGTAAACTCTGCTTGACCTTTTTCTTAAGATGTTGTTAAATTTTATTGTTTCGGAAGATAAACCTCTAGTCCTATTAAACAAGTAGCGAGTACTATTAAACAAAAATATAATTACAAAGCGTACAAGACTATATAACCATTTTTAAAATATATGTTGTATAAAGCCAGTGAACAAAACAGTGGATTTGTTGTCAGTAAAATGCATTACTCAATTAGAGTACATGAAAACCCTCTCATGTTGTGTGCATTCTCATGGGCACGTAAATATATAAAATTCAAGTCCACAGCTAAGTTATTTCACACACAAAGTAAAGAAACAATACTCTATAAAACGTAGAAATTGAATAAAATTTAATATCACGTAAAAGAGAATGCAGAATAATGATTTGAATAAGTAGTGAATTATAAATGTGAGACTATAAAAAGATGTTTTGATGTTTGTCACTCAATCTACGCTTCAACGAATTTGATTTACATTGGGTATGTAGAAGAAATCTAACTGATATGCTAAATTAACGCATACCACTCTTATCCTAATTTCCCAACAGAAATCTTCGTAGCAGAGTTTCAAGGTATACCTGGTTAAATTATAAATTATTATTAACTATCAAACTTAATTCATTATATAACAGCAAATTAATGAACTTATTGTGTTTTTGTCATTTCCAACAATTATTTCAACTATTAAATTGTATACAGGACTTTTAAAAGCAATTGCAATATAATTTATAAATAATAATGTTTCAGAGAAACCAACTTCAGTCGTGGAAAACCATTTATTTTTAATTAAAAACTATTAAACTATTAAAACTAACTATTGGACCGATATTGATATTTCTATGGAACCAAAAATTTACTAAGTCGGTTCATAAATTACGAAGTTATGAGATAACATATATAAAAAAAATACAGCCGAATTGAAAACCTTTTTTTTAAACCTGCCACATTGCATTATTTTTCAATAAATCGTTAGCTTACAATGAACTGTGTCGTTCTCAAAAATTACCCAGCTTTATTTCCAATGAGATGGCTAATATACCGAGGCCATTCTCCACCTGCACCTAATTTTCCATTGAAATGGATTGTATAGAACCTTTCACATGTCCCAAAATATATTTACACCAGTTTTCCATTCAGGCTTTACTTTAAGCTTTTCACTTACATTTGACGTGTCTGGAACACCGAGTAAGGTCGCCTGGGGCCACGGGATACGGTTGAAAAGAGCTAATCGAAGACTAGTCTAATGGAAAAGTGGCCTAGTTAGGGTTGTCGCATCTTTCATTTGTATGTATGAATGTGGCGTTCAAAATAAACGAATATATGCTTTGAGAATTAAGGCAATTAACTTTAAATGAGTAATATTTATATTTTATTTTTTATGAAACATATAATAGCAAACAAACTGACAACCTTTCATATAAAGCGGTTACCGTCACTTACAGATATAAACAGTATGGATGTCACAGAATATTCTCTAATACTCATGATAGCACTTATACGTTGCTATTCTTGAGATCTACGATGTTATATCTCCATATCCTATTACTTGATACAAAAAAAAAGAAGATAATTTATTATTTCAAAAATGGAATGGATACCAATATTTTTTTTAGAAATGACATAGATATAAATAATTTACTCTAATAAAATATATTCATTACTATCTTGTCCTTACTAATATTATAAATATAAAAACGAGATTGTTTGTTAGCCTATAGCTCCTTAATGGCTTAACCAATCATTAGGAAATTTGGTAAAAATGATAATAATATATGAAATGGAGAAGATATGGGCTATTTTTTATTCCGGCCAGTAAACATATTCCCATCACGATAAAAGTTAGTATTCGTATATTCGTATATAATTAATTTATCTTTTACTTAATTTATTTCTAATTCACAATTTTTTTTAATGAACCATAACTCACTATTCTATATACAAAATATTATTTTAGCATAATATTTGATCACACTGTCAACCCTATGAATATTTAATATGAATAGGAATTAACGGATGAACGAGAAAAAACTGCACTATTTAATGGCCATAAAAAAACGGTTAGCTGAATTCCAGTTTCATTCCAAGCCTTTGCTTTACTGATGTTAAACTATTCTAAAATATATATGTAATGATTAAAAATTCTACTTATATTACAAATGTATAAGTTTGTAAAAATGTATGTATGTTGGTTACTCAATCACGCTTAAAATCCGTTAGTCTGAAGGTCGACCTTCACGTAGTTCTCCTGTAAAACCATCTTGGTTATTTTTTTTATGAATTCATCACTATATGCCAACTGACCTGTTTCATCTTCACCTGTCTCTCACTGGTTACCACACTCTTTATCATTCATTAACAAGAAAAACAAGAAAAAAGGAAATACCCCGCCTGCGAATATTGGTAGTGCAAGCGGAGTTACCATTCTATTATTACCTATTAAAAAACCTTATAAAAATATCCACCGTAGTATATTTACGAAAAGGAATGATCCTAAGCCTAAATATCAATTCAATATAGGTTTTATAAGAACTACCTTTCCATTCAAAATTAAATAGCAAAGAGATCATCTTACATAGCACGGTATCACATTTGATGACCTGTCATCCCATATCTTCTTCAATGGTTCTTATAATAGATAAGTTGTTTACATTCTGGATGTACACATACTTCACATGTAAAATTGAATAAAACTTTATAGATGACGCAATGGATCACATTATTGTCGTTCCTTGAAACTCATCGGCTGTCAAACGTTTATTTGCAGTCCATTTAATATGACTATTAAAATTGTATTAATGATATTTTATTTTTATTAATACGCACAAGTTATACTGCAAAACTATTAAATGCGTTTATTCCAAATTATAATTTGAGATTTTTAAGAACATTATGTATAAGAGAATATATATATATACATACATATATATATATATATATATATATATATATATATATATATATATATATATGTGTGTATATATACATATATATATGTATAAGTTTTTCATTCATTCATATCAACCGTTAACTGCCCACTGATGAACATAGGCCTCCCCCATAAGGAGGGTTTTGTCAGTAGTTACCATGCTTGGCTGTTATCAAGCAACAATAGTGGAGAAGATCAATTTTTCATTTTTATATAATTATTATTTCAGCCCTTAACTGTTCACTGCTGAATATAAGCCTTCCCCATAAGGACAGTTTGCCAGTAGTTGCCAAGCTTGGCAAGCGGATTGGCAACCGCAGTTAGACTTTTAGAGCTGTTTTAAGAGGGACGCTGTTGCCCATCCTGCGACCAATAAGTTACCTTAGCCGCCTTTTACGACACCCACGGTAAAGAAATGGGTAGCCTATTCTATGCCGTGACCACACGGCGATGTGGATGTATATATGTATGTGGATATATGTGAGTTTGTTATGTTAATACAAATTCGCTGTAAAGACCTAAAAAGCCTTTTCTCCGAAAAAAAGAAATTGTTTATATTAACATCGTCATTGTTACTAATATCAGGTCGGCCTCCACGTGGTTCCCCCTGAAAACAATCGTGGTTAATTCTTGAATTTCTTACGATATTTTCAAAAAATATATTTGTAATCTTAATAACATTATATATGTATGAGAGTATTGAAATAAATTTTACATACAAATAGAGAATATCCTAGATTGACAAATATAGGGCATTATTATCATAATTCACACGGGCAAAACAATGGAAAATTGTTAATATAAAAATAATACTTGAACCATACCTACTTACCTACCAAATAAAAAAACATAGATTAAATACAGTAAAACACGACAAAAGTGAAAAAACCATGGAGATTCACTTGCTAAAAATATTCAAATTGCTTTGAATATTAAAATGATATCTCTAGAAATTGTAATTAGACTCTTACATTAAATCAATGTAACCGCTTGGGTAACTCAAACAAAATTTGCTGAATTGACGTATTTCTGTATCTCTCTAGAGTTATTAGCATATTTTGTGTATTTTCTCCAATAACAAAGATTTATAACAAACAGAACAAAGGGTAAACACACCTACGGTATTCAGTGGGCATTCACAAGTAACATAGGTTTACATACACATATTTCACTGTTTACATTTCAAATTATTAATCAAATTATTTACATAAAATAATTTAAGATTTTGTTCAACAAAAACCTACTACCAGTTATTTTTATTTGAAAATTAAATTTCTAAAATAATTTTGATAATTATTCTATGTGACCAATGTGTAAGAAAGTATATTTCAGATAAAATAATTTTCCAAATCGGTTTATCACTGAAGCTATAAGGAGGTAACGAACGTAAAAAAATACAACCGAATTAAAAAAAAAGAGAACTTGCTTCATTTTGAAGACACTTGAAAATAAATATGAATATAAAATATATTAAAAATTATACATAATATTTTGAGTTTTCATTCCCTATAGAAATTTATAGGAAAATATAGTTGCTTTATATACTATAACTATTATATATACAATGAATAATACAAACAGTAATATCCCATACATAAATAATCATTAAAATATAAATAGCCTTACAAATATTATAAATATAAAAGTTGGTCCGTTTGTTTGCTAACTCTTAGCGCCTTTATTGGGCCGTGGTTGGAAACTATTGAATTTTTTATTGTATTTTTTTATTTCAGATGTTTAAACAGGATTTCAGACACGATATATGTACGATTCAATGTATATACACAGGTGAGGATGAAAGCAGATTTGTTGATTGTGACAAATTCAAGGAGAATTTAACCACGATGGCTTCCAAGGCGAACCGCGTGGAGTTCGTCCTAAAAGAGGTATATTGTTAGCAATGGGGCTTCGAACCCCATTGCTAACAATCCTTGCCCCCCACGCTCCGCCATTGTAGTCGACCTAATAGTAAACGATTATCTTACCTTCTAATGCTCAAAACACTGATGTCACGTACGCGTTACTGACCCT